TTGTTTGATAATAAATGCAGAGTCACACGGCCATGTGTTCTTTTCCTCTGATTGACTTGTTGGTTCTAAAGTTTACAGTTTTCTCCTGATTAAGTAAGTAAGTAAGTAAGATAATCAGAGCTGTTGAAGAATATCTTTGTGTGTCTTTCTTCAATTCCTGTGTGGTGTTCAACTGAACAGGCCAAGTTTTAATACTGACTAAATAAATTGTGTAAATTTAAACTAGGATTTCTCTAATGAAAAATATGGCTAAAAACGATTAGGAAAATCAAACTTTTTTTTCAATCTTAAATTTCTACATCTTAAATGATTCTATGCTTTCATTTTTGAGAAGAATATTGCACATGCTACCTTAAAATAGAAGTAAAAGACAAGCTACTTACTGTGTGTCTTCAAATAATTTAGAATCTTCATGACTATTGTCCAAACAATTGGTGGCTATTGTCAGGTGGTGGAAAAAACTACATAAAAATATTGAAACTTGAAACATCAGTCACAGGTTTTTTTAAAAAATTATTTTCTACTATTTTATTATTTTTTACTATTATTTAATGCTGTAAAATAATGCCAGAAGTTACTCTGGGAATCTTTTTTTTTTTTTTTTGTCTTTTGACCACAGTAAGAAGACAGGATACTACTACAGATAAGGAGGAAGAAGTGACTTCTTCCTCCTTATCTAGTAGTAGTAGTAGTAGTATCCTGTCTTCTTGCCTGTGTTGTAGCCTGTTAAAACAGACAGGTGGTAATGACTTACGTCCTGCTCTTTCATTATCACAGCCATCAATGATCATCATCATCATCATTATCATCATCATCTCCATCTTCTCTGCTCCCTGTAGAGTCTCACTACAACCTGACACGCAGCTGTAAACGCCACTCAGAAATGTAGGGTTGTTAAATGTCATAGTGGGAGAAAGACATCTTTATTTTCTGCTACTATTAAATCTAGTCTCACAGGGCTGTCATTTTCTTAGAGCAAAAGGTCGACTGAGTTCTCCCTGCCCCCGCCCCCCCCCCACATCCATACCCCTATCAGCCCCGCCCATCATTCCTTGCAATGTTGCTTCTGTGTGTAGACCATGAACATGTGCTATGTATTTATTTGCTCTCATGCCATTTCATGTGTGTGTGTCTGCACATTAACAGGGAAAAGCATAGACAGCAGCTCACTTAAGGCTCAGTCCAGCACCAGCTCCCAACCCGATAGCTGTCAGGGCTGCTCACCTGCTGTGCTCTGTAAGTCAGCATGGCCTGTGTGTCAGAAGTCGCTAACACCCACATGCTGTGCGCTTGTCGGTGCTCTACTGACAATTCATGCTAGCCTCACTCGGCCTTGTATGTTGAAACTAACATTTACAACAGTGGTTCTCAAACTATGGTGTGCAACACCAGTGGTTTCCCTTTGGCTCCCTTGAGTGGAAAATCGGGAAATACATATTATATTTATGTATATAGATAAATACACACACTGTATATATAGTTCTATATATTTATATATGTATATACAGATATATGTATATGTGTTTATATAGAATATATGTAATTATATATTTATATATCTATATTTATGAATATATATTAGAGCAACAATAAGTGAATAAAAGGTGTTATATATGTATTTTTAAAATATATATTTATATGTTTATACATATGTATATTTATGAATATATATTAACAACAAGTAAATAAACTGTGTGAGTCATTCTGCCAATGTATTAAAATGCGTTAAATAAAAAATAAATAAAATTGTATTATTGCTAATAGTGATAGTGGTGCTTCTTTACTTCACAGTGTAAATGACAAATGAATGACCAACAGCCTGTGGGTCTGTACTGCAATGTGGGTCACTCTGGTGAGACAAATATTTTTAGTTTAGTTGAGTTTGAAAAAGTTTGAGAACCACTGATCCAAATAGTACTTCTTCCTTTTTTTAACCCTGACCTACATTTGTCTCATCCATCACTGTTTTTTTTTTTTACTGCAGTATTTTTGGACTTTTACAAACAGCAACTCTATTGTTAACAATTACCAAAATAACGTATTTGTTGCTTTGATTTCTCCTCTATCGTCCTACAAACCATGTGTGCTGTCGCCCTCTTTTGGGCACCTGTGAGAAAGCAAAACAATGCTGTCGGCAGTACTGTTTTCTTTTGTTGAAAATCTCATTTCAACCTTTGGAAGGTTCTCCCTCCGCCCGTCTGTTTGTTCTCATCATGAGTTCATACTTTCTCTCAAGTGCACTGTCTCCCATGCCCCACCTCACCCCCACCCTCACCCCTCCCTCTTTAAACTTAGCTGCTGCAAAGTTTGCTGACCTTCTGGGCTCAGTCCGCAGGGGCTCAGGGCCTATATCTGACAGCGAAGGCCGATCCGTCTCGCCACCAGCTGCAGTCCTTTCAGCCCCCTCCCCCCCACACACCCCTGTTGTTCCAATGCAGAGTAAGTAAAAAAAAAACATCAGCAACAGGGAGTTTAAATGACTGACAAATACAACACAATTGTTTTATTTTTTCCTCCATCATCCAGGGTGTGTCATGGTTGTTTTTACTTGTGTGACACACTGACATTTAGAAATCTCAAATGTTCAATGTGTTCAATGTTCAGTATAAATATTGAACGCGGGTAACATTTATGGTGAATTTATACTATATGCAACACTGCTTAAAGCTGCTGTTTTTGAACATATACCTTTAAACAAAAACAAAATATTGCATTTAGACTAATTAAATATATGTAATATATACATATATTTATGTATATGTGTGTGTATATACAGTATATATGTGTATATATGTGTGCATATATAGTACATATATACATATGTGTGTATATGTATGCATATATATACATATATTGTATTGATTTGTTAGCAGTTTATACAAATAAAAGACTTAACGTAACATTAATAGTAAAAAATCATGAAACGACAGATGCAAAAACACATATATAAAATCCCAACTTCTAGTTTACTGTCAGTCATCTTTTTTGAGCCAATAAACCAATAAAAGATTTTCCTTTTTTTTTTTTTGCCTAAAAACAATACATTTTCCTGGTTTTGTCATCAACCTTCTTTAACTCCACCTTTAACTTTTTCTTGCTTCCCACCTTTTCCTGCGCCTTTCCTCCTCCTCCACCACCATCGCTCCACCCTCCCCCGTGTCTCCCCATCCTGCCCGGCTGGTAACCAGTGTCCCGTCTCACAGACCTGGTAAGCAGCGTCCGCAGGGCGCCGGCTGCCCCTGCACCTGACAGTGATGCTGCACCAGCACCAACACCAACACCAGCACCAGTACCAGTACCCAGCCCCAGATCTGCCCCTCCACCTGCTCACTCCACCCCCCCTCCACCTTCTCACTCCCCCACCAGCCCTCCCCCATCTTCTGTCCAGAGTGAGTACTGAGCACGACCCTCCATCACTGTGCTGCATGGGAACCCACCGTGGAGGCAACTGGCGTTTGTGTGTGTGCGTGTGCGAGAACTCTGCTTCCTAAACGTAATGCAGTGTGAAGATCCTTCCATCCTGACGACGACAACCACAGTTTGCAGTGATACGAGGAGACGTAGTGTTGGTGTGCGCCCCCTGTTGTGGTGTGTTTTAGGACGAGCTTCGCAATGTTGTCAATTAGAATTTAACCCAGATAAAAAAAAAGAAATAACACCTCCTCCTCCTGCTGCTCCTCCCGCTGCTCCTCCTCAGCCGTGTGTTTGCAAATTACTAATATTGATCGATTCTTTTTTTTATCCCAATGTTCTCTCTGCAGCGCGCAAACAGGAAATCATCAAAATCACGGAGCAGCTGATAGAAGCCATCAACAACGGAGACTTTGAGGCATACGCGTGAGTCTATTTACTGTATATTTTATATATCTGGTTGTGATTGACTGTTATCTTAGTTCACAAGAACGCTCCCTCTATCTGCTCCTGACCCAGCTCCCGTTCGATTTTAGGACAATTGTGAGCCACGAGTCAAAAAGTTTGCCTACACCTGATTTAACGTGTTGTTTTATTTTGTTTCCAGTAAGATCTGTGACCCTGGACTCACGTCCTTTGAACCCGAGGCCTTGGGAAACCTGGTCGAGGGGATGGACTTCCACAGATTTTACTTTGAGAATCGTAAGTTGTAACTTTTTCACACAGATACAGTGGAGCTTCAAGGACATGTATGAGAATAGTACAACAGTAGTGAGGTGTGCTGTTGGAAGGACAGATGACTTCAAGGTGGAGGTGGGACTACATCAAGGATCGGCCCTGAGCCCCTTCTTGTTTGCTTTGGTGATGGACAGATTGACAGATGAGGTCAGACAGGAGTC